ACAGCTAAGTTCTGTGCTTTTAAATATACAGGGTATGCCAGGAGTGTGCAAGAGCTGCTGTAAATGTCTGCATTAATAAAGGATAAAAGTGAAGAAGCGAGTGCTTCATTACATGGTTATGAAGGTCGGTAAACTGGCTCTTTACAGCATGGGACAGCATTTCTGATGGGGGTTGCAACACCAGCCACTGCGTTTCTTCTCTCTGCAAAGAAATTTACAGCTGAACTATCCAGGCCTGCTACGCAGAGAAAGTTCCAGGGCTGTGGGTTTAAAACAAGGCTCTATCATTATGCCGACTTGAGTGAGAAGCCATCCCACAGCAGACTTCTGCTGCGTGGTTATGCTCAAGGATGAGGAGTGCTGGGCAGGGGCAGATGGGAAGAGAAGAGGACTTTAGGAAGCTCCTAGTGAAGGAAGGGATAGCTTGGCAGTGGTTTCTCCATCCTTCCTCTTACCCCAGCGAAGCCGTTCCCTGTTGAGTAGCTTTCCCACAGCCGTGAAGATTCTGCCCTACCATTTCACCTGGGCTCCTCGGGAAGGAGACCCTGGAGCAGAGGCATCATTCCCCGCTCTCCTTGAGGGCGTTTGCTATTTGGCAGAGCAGAAGGGACAGTCCTCCAGCCCCAGAGAAGAGCCGCTTTGAGTTGTTTCTAGAGCACCAGATCTCTCTGTGACAGCAGATGTAGGATTGACTGAAGAAGTCCATTTGTTTGGTGATGTTAACCAAAGAAAACTCGAAAATGCTCTAACATGTTTTTAACTCCAAACGTGCAATAGGATTTGTGACACCTAATGCAGGGACCACAGGAGAGTCTCCAAAGCAGAGTGAGTTCCCAGGCTCTGGTAGGTCTGCAGTGATGCCTTGGGCAGCCAGCCACACTCTCACCAGGGCTGCGATTTATAAATGAAACATCTCAGCAGTGCAGGTCAGATTCAGGGCTGGCTTCAGCTTCTGCTGCGTTATTCATGAGTATGCGAAAACTCTGAAAAATGTGACAGGCTTTGGGGTGGGTTCTCAACACATTACTTCTCATGAGATGAAATATGAGCGTGTCCCTGTGAAGACAGGAGTGTACACACTGGAAGCTGTGAGATAATGGCATATATAAAGGGAAGGTGAAGTCTTTGGTGTTCTGCTGTCAGTGGGTTTGTTTTCATTTCCCTCCCAAGAGGAGCACTTTGCTAGTGAGCTACAAGCACTCGCAGCCACAGCAGTGTGGTTCAAATCAGTTTGAAAATGTTTTGTCCCAGAACTACTTTTGCATGGGTTTATGCAAGGTTGCTTGCTTGTGAGTGCAGAGGTTTAGAAGCCCCTCCATGGCTCCCGGAGAGGTCATGCCAGCAGCGCAGAGTCTTCTCTTTGCCACAGTGAGCAGGTCAGCTGAAAATTTGTCTTGTGTTCCCTTTTTAAACAGTGTGATCAGCCCTCTCAGGTAACAGTCCACAGGGGCTCCACACCAGTTGCTCTGGTGCCCTCGGAGTGGGAGGAGGAGTAAGGGAAAAGGGAGGGGTGCTTGGAGGCCCCAAGGGTTGTGTGTGTCTGGGAGAAGACAGCATGGCAGGGCCTCAAGTTCTCTTAAATACTTAGGAGTCTCTGTACTTTCCTAAGGGGAAAGGATTTGTTCCCATTTTCTGCGAAGTAAGTGGGAGTTTTCCTGTTCGTGTCCATGAGAGCTGGTTTGGGAGTGCAGTTTATATAAAGGGAGCTGCTATGCACGTGGTTATTTTGTCGACCTGGTCTTACGTTATATAAATCTGCAATTCCTTTGTGTTGAAGGCATGTGGAAGTCCTGAGCTTTGGGTCCAGCCTTCCCCACATCCCAGTATACATAGCAACCGGACTCTGCTTTCTAGTGCTCCACTCACAAAGATGCGTCTGGAACAGCGCTTTGGCAGGGGACAAGCAAAGCCCAGACCTCACCAGGCTGTCCCAGCCCTGCGTGTGCTGGGTGAGATGCGATGCATCTTGTGACAAACAAGTCTGTCCGGCCATGCCCGTGGCAAGGAATCTGGTCTGGGTGCTCGTCTTGGCCATTTCCAATCTGCGTAAGAGGTGAAGACCTGGGTGTGCAGCATCCCCACCGTTGGCACCTCCAAACCCCTGGTGCCTTGGGCATGTAGTCCTGGGTGGGAAAGATGGTTCAGTCTCGAAGGTGCCTCCTGGGTGCTGTGGGACTGAGCCCTGGGCTGTGTGGTGGCACCCCTGCCAGCAGAGACACAGCTCCTGGTACCTGCTGCGGGTGTGAAAATAGTGTCTGTACGGAGCCTGCTGCTGTGTCCGGAGCGTGAGTGATGGTGCACCTTCAAACACCGACTTAGGAGGGCATCTGCTATCTACTCTGCAGTAGCCAGCTGGCTGGGGGAGCTCCTCTGTGCCTCCTTTTTCCTGGGGAGAAGGTGGTAGCATCTGGAAATGCATTTTTGGGTTGTCAGCGGAGAGGTACCTATACTGAAGAGCAAGGTATTATTTCTCTTGTACAGTCCTGGTTTTGGTAAAACCAGATGGGTTTGAGGTAAATACGGAGTTCCTTTGTCAAACACAAGTGTTAACTGAAATTTGTGTATATAAAGCGCTATGAGTAATCTCCCTTTCTGAAGAAATGTTTTCTTTACTGAAAACTAGTGGCCTGCAACAGATTCTCGTAGCATCAGTTGGATACGTGACAGGGAGATCGTATAAAAGGTCACCTTCAGTTTGAAATGAAGGCAATGAAAAATAAGTGTCTTGTACTAAAACTGTTCCTGGACATTGTTGGCCAAGTATTGCAGGCTCACTTTTCTATTTTTAAAACTCTCTTGCCAGCTGTGATGTGACCCTTCCCTCCACACCCACAAGAGAAAAAAACCTTACTGATTAGAAACAGGAAATAATAAAACTCACTAACCACAAAGTATTTTCAAACACACAAAGTAAACAAGCAGAGATGGTGAGAAATGCATATTTCCCACTGATCTCTTTTCAGCATGGTAACCATAGCCGATAATTATAGTCATTGGGGATTTACAGCTTTTAGGGGGAAAGTATGCTTTTAAGTTGATGCTGTCAAACCATAGTAAAATATTTTCATCACAGCCTCTCCCAGTTTAACAGTAAGGTAGCCACAAGTGCTGTGAGATGCATTATTGACACCAACTAGGAGTAAAAGAAAACTACAAGCCCGCTCTTGGGTAGGGTGCTCCTCTTGCCTGCCCCACTGGCGTGCAGACCCCAATGCTGTGCAACAGAGGTTTCTCTGGTGGGTACAACCGTGGGGGCTCTTGTGGTATGGGGGCTTTATATAAACTCAGCAATATGTGTGATAATAAACTGGGAAAGTTTTTAATGTCTTTCCTCTTCCAGGACTTTGTGGTCTGTCTTGCCTGATGGTTTTCTCTGCCCCTGAGGACTGTGTGTGCTTCGCTGCAGCCGTTTGCTCGAGTTGCCCCCAGCTCCCACCCTCAGCTGCGTCTTTGCAGGGGGATGATTTGGTTGTATTTTCCGCATTGGGGTTCACTCCGGACGTTCCCATCAGAGAAGGGGGAAGTCCTAATTTTCAGGCAGGGGGTGGAAACTGAGGTTGCGGTAAGATCTGTACAGTCCTGTGTCTTTACCTGCCTTCTGACCCCACAGCTGAAGAAACCGGCCTTGCCTCCGCACAGCCATGTGTAGGCCAGTTGTTTCTCCTACCGCCCTTATGCCACCACCCCTAATGGCTTTTCAGGAGGGCTGGATAAAAGGAAGAGCTTCACAAAAGAAGATGCTAAACCTAGAGGTGATGGTTTTCACTCCTTTGGCACATCATCAAATAGATCTCACTGTATAATGAGCCCCTCTGAACTGGGGTCCATTAATTAGTATGCGCGGTGTTTGTTTAAGAGCTCCTTGCTCTTTTATTTTAACTGTGAGGAACTTTTAACTGACTTTGAGATGAAAAACTGGAACCAAATGTTGCCAACAAGCTGAGCAGATTTGTCCCAGTCTCCTTGGTCCAATTTGCAGGGAATTTTACCTTCTGCCCTTTAGATTCTCTCTGTGATTCCCTTATAAGTAAAAGCTAAAGCATTAATCCAGACTGATAAACCCAACTCCTGATTTCTTTCATAACTTTTTAAGCATTACTGTGATCCAGGTGATTCTGTCTGCATGTGTGTGTGGTGCGCGCTGCTTTTTCTACAAAGCATCAGAGGCGAAAACTGAACCATCTCTTTCAACTGCATGCAGGAAAAACGTTTGTGAAAGATGAAAACAAAAACAGATGCCCAAGTACTGTTTATTCAGAGCAGGCAGGACAAGGCTGGGAGAAATAGCAGTCATTATCCTCCAAAGTTTATTTAGAACTTTTACTTACAGGAACAAAAAAATAATCCCTAAATATAACTATATGTAACATATATATTTATACATGTAGCTCACTAGTTTAACAGCCATTTCAGGATGTCCAGGTGTCTGGGAACAGCACAGCTTGAGTGAGCAATCCAGAGAGCATTTCTAAACAACCTAAGAAGTCCAAAACAAGTCTCTCCCTTTCTCTCTTCTAATCACTGCAGCATTTTCACGGGAATCAAACTGGAATCTCCTACAGCTGCACAGGAATAATAATAAAAATAAAAAGCAGAAGAGATTGGCTGTTTACCTCTTTGTCCAACGAGGTGATCTCAGTGGCTTATGTGAGATCTGAGAGGTAAGCTTGACGCCAGAGAGGGTTGTTGCTTGTTGACTTTTACTTTTATTAATAGGGAGTTAATTATTTTAAGAATGTAAACTGAGAAAGCTATGTAATTAATATACACTAAAGAGCATGAGAAGATTCTATACAATAATTTAGATGTATTAAATAAATAAAAAATAATAGCAGCCTTCTACAATGCAGGCTACACATAGGTTTACTTCGGCTTGAAGTACCCTGGTCTTTAGTACACCTACAGGAGCAGACTTGCTCCACAAGTGTTTTAAAGAAACATATCTATAAGATACATATGTAAGAGTGTCTAAGGTTAGAATAAGCATTTTAAAACACACTTTACCATGGTCTCCACATATCTAATGACCCCATTCTAGGGTTGTTATGGGAAAAATTTGGCTGCAGGACCTGCCTGGGAGGTACAGCATCAACCTGGCTGAAAACCGACAGCGATGGCAGCTGGAAGGAATTTTTCGAAGCCTGCTTGTTCTCCGCAGGGTAGAAGCACTCCTGTGATGGGTTTGTGCCCCGAGTGCTCCCCTTCAGGCTCAGGGGGCTTTTTGGTGTCGGGAGAGGCTGCTGAGATGGGCTTGAAGACCTTAATGCTGCTTTGCAGGTGTCTTCGCCAGACCTGGGTAAGGATTTCAGCAGGTGGTTTAACAGGCGCGCCCCGAGGGTCTTGTCCATCCACTCGCAGGTGAGGAGGAGGTTGTGCACCTCATGCATGCACTGAATGTACCCGGTGCTGTACCTCTGCTGGGCTTCCAGACCCACTTTGGAGTCGGCTGCGTAGGAGAGGAGACAAGGGGAGTTGGTGAGCGGGTAAAACTATTCCTGTGTAAAAGCATTCACCAGGTTTCCCGTGTGCACAGGCTCCCGGGGGCTCATTGCTGAAGCCAGCTGGGCTTTACCCTAAGGGGAATCATTTGTAGGGCACAGGGGGAAGGTGATGCAGGGTGTGAGCCACCCTGGCAGTCAGCCCCCCCCAACCTCCTGCCCACCGCCGAGGGCAAAACTAGACCAAAAGCAGAAAGAGGCTCTGGAAGTTTTGAAAAAAAAAAAAAAAATCCTCCCGTGGGTTCACCAGTGCCCAGCTCCATCTCCCCATCTAGTGGAGAAAGCCAAGCCCGAGCAGCAGTCCCGGCCTCAACAGGTTTGGGAGATGCTTTTGCCAAACTGCCAGCCGATTAGATCAGCTGGCACCCTCCTGCCCTGGCTGCCCGCGCTCTCAGGGTGGGGGGACGGGGCACTCACCCATCAGCTTGCTGCTCTGGATGTTCTGGAGGTGCTTCACCGTCATTTCGAGGATGTCTGCTTTTTCCAGTTTAGACTGCTGATAGAGAAAGAGTGCAGCAGTTAGGGGCAATGAAGGGTTCGTACCATTCCCAGTTTCTTGAAAGTAGAGAAGCCCCCTTCCAAAAAACAACCACCCACTAGCAAAAGGGCAAAAAGCAGCATAAAAATGAGCACTTACATCCAGGTGAAACGCGCCCACAACGGTCTCCTTCAGCTGGTCCAAGCAGTTATTAATCCTTTCCCTTCGTTTCCGCTCAATGAGGGGTTTCCTTAGCTGGGAGGGAAAAGAAAAGGAGGAGGGAAAAGTTCAGCTGGTATTTTCTCTTCCTCTCCATGCTGCAGTTCAGCGAGGGCAGAGAGCCCCTTCCCCTGCATGAAACCAGCACTGGGTGATGTGATGCTCGGCAGGGACAAGATACGGAGGGAGAGTGCCATCTCCAGCTCCAGTCACGGCCTGATGCTTAGATGGTATCAGCTCTCAATTCTCCCATTTCCACTCATTTTAAGCAGCATTTACCCAGACAAAACAGAGAGAAGCCTTTCTAAGGCGGATAAAGGAAGCAGAAAAAACACCCACGTGGGCTAAATTCAGAGAACGTGTCTTTATAATAAGAGGGAAAAAATTGTCCCCTTTCTCTTTCCTCGAAGCAGTACCCACAGCCCCGGCAGTCATCATTCACATGCCCGGGGTCGGCATCCACGCGTGGGGACCTACCTTCCTCTCCTCCTTGGTGCTGGTGAGCTTGTGGGTGCTGCCGGCGGTGGCTGCGGCGGTCATCCTAATCCAGCCTGCCTGCCCCGGGCGCTGGGAGGACGGGGTGGGAAGGAGGCACTCGGGCAGCAGGTCGCTCCCGTTCCAGATGGACTCTTTGCTGCTCGGCTGCTCCTCTGCCGTATTTATAACCCAGAATTAGCATGTGAAAGGGGGCTTGCCTTGGCGGGACTTCTTTTCCCACAGGAGGGGTCGAGCCTGGAGGTTTGTGGCCATCAATCAAAGCTGACAGGTCACTGCTTCTTTTCAATGACCACGCCGGCCCCCCCAAACGGCGACAGATGTCCAGCCTCCGACGCCGGGCTTTGGAGGGCTCTTTTGTTAGGGAAGAAGGGAAAGAAAATGGGCGCGCTCTGAGCAGCTTGCACGGCTCCTCGCTCAATTTGCACAGATTCCCAGGGAGGGAAACAATAGCCGAGAAGCAGTTGAGTTACACCTGGGAAAAAATGCCTTCCACCCATCTTTCTTCCCCTCTATCTCCTTGAAGCTATGCCTCTCTTTACCTGCTAACCCAAGCCCCAGCCATTTTACATCTTTGAAGCAACCTCTTCATTTAATAATAGAGTACTTGAGCTAGGAGTTCCTGCTCCCAGGAATTATTATTACAAGGTAATGATGATCGATTAAAAACTGTTGACAGCAGATGTCTGTAGGAACATTGTTTGCATCACAGAAATCCTTTAGGGAAAACATGGAAGCTTTACTTACCTCTTGGGAACCTGAATTCTCCGTTGCATGTGTCTGGATGTAGGAAATACACAAGTCTTCTAGTTTTTGGCTGCTGTGTAGAATTTAGTATTAAACTTACAGGCCCTTGCAAGTGCAAATGAACCTAGAGGTGAGTTAGTTCTCTGGGATTTTTATTACTTTGAATTTTTTCCTCCATGCTGCAAGGAGGTTTGAGTAGCTTTGGGGGGAAGGGTGGTTTTCTGTTCACTCCTCTGAAATGCTAGTGCAGAAGCAGACGGGCCTTTGGAGGAGACTTGGCACAGGATGAGCATGCACTTTTATGCTTCCTCACTTTTGCCTGGACTGGGGGGAGTATGAAGGCGTTTTTCATGACCGTGCTTTTGCTTTCTGACGGTCGCTTTGCTAATGAGCAGGATTTGGCAGTGTCCTGTTGAGTCCCGCAGGTGAAGCCCTTTGGGCTGGTGTCAAATGTGTCACCTGATTGAAAAGGAGAGGAAGCGGCCGCAGCGGCTCAGGAGCACTGCTCACCCTCCCGCTCTGCCGGTGGGATTTCCCAGCACCCAGCGTAGCGCCGGGGCTGCGGAGCCCTCTCTTCCCCCCTCCAGCCGTGGGTGGGGATGTACCCCAGAGATAAAAGCGAGGACATTGCGTCCCTTGCTTAAATGCCATGTGGGTGTGTGTTTGCCTGTGTGTAAATGCAAACATACTTGCAGCATGTCTGTACGCCCTGCTGCCCGGGCTTACCGTGAAATCATGTCCCCAGACGTCGTATCTTGCAGGAAGAGGTTGTTTGTCAGTCAAATGCAGAGCCGGGGTGCAGTTACCCGGTTTTATAAGCACCCTACTTGGCAAGCGGCTGAGACAGGCTGCTGTGGTTGTGCTTGGAGGGGAGGGTTTGGGAAGGAAAGGTTGATAACTTGTCCTTTCTGCCAGGTAAAGGGAGCAGGGATGGGCTCCTTATCTCAGGTGCACCCCCTGCACAGACAGCAAAAGGAGGTCCCACGTCCTGATGCAGGAGCCCCTCACATCAGCCAGCCCTGGCTGCTCACGAGCGAAGACTCCTTTGGGTTTTCAAGCCTTTTCCAGCCCACCCAGGGAAGTGAAGTGTTGCCAGTATTTATAAAAGACGTAGCTGCAGCGTTTGTATCGCCACACGACTCCAGCAGCTTGGTGTGGAAGAGGCAGTGGGTGGGCTGGGGTAGGGCTCTGCCCTGCACGCGGGGAAGTGGGCACAGAGTGGGCGCACCCCTCACTCTGGGCAGTTTGCTGGGGTGCTCGAGGCTAGAAGTGCCTGCCCATCACCTGGGCACACACCTTCCAGCTGGGTTTGGCTCAGATGGTGGGTGAGGAAGGGGAGATGCCCCCTCAGCCCCCCTCAAACACCCCTCCACCAGTGCCTTGTGCGGAAAGGGGCACCTTTCCAAGGCAGTCAGGGCAGCAGGGGGAAGCCTGAGACTACCTTGGCTTCTGGCCCAGCTGAGCATGGCAGACGTGTCAGCAAATGCAGAATTGCCTAAAAGCTCTGAAAAACATGTCCTCTGCCCGTTGGCATCCCTCCCTGGCTGAGCACGGCTGCAGGGTGCTGTGTGTTCCCCCTTTGTTAGTGGCCCAGGGGCTGGCCAGCCCCCAGTGCCACCGGGAAAGGTCTCTCTGGTCTCTGTGGTGGTGGCATCTCCTCCCTCACCCTCCTTTCCTCCTTGGCCTGGAGCTGTGGTTTCTGCCTTACTCCTGCTTTCCTTACCCTGCGAGGTGCGGCCGAGCTCCTGGGAGAGGGGGATGCTCTGCGAGAGGCTCGCCCACGGGCTTCCCCTGCAAAGCGGCTTCCACGAAGCAAGCAGGCGAGGTGGTGGGTACCGGGGACAGATGGGTGTGATGGGGGGGCCAGGGACAGCATGGTGGCCCCTGGCACCCAGCCAGGGTCAGTGACCAGCCCACGCAGGGCAGCTGAGCCCCCAGCCTCGGTGGGGTGAGCCCCTTGGCTTGCCCGCTGGTGTCTGCTCTGGGTGAGCTCATTTCAAGGTTCATTTGTAAGACAGCACCGCGGTGAAAAAGAAGAGTAGCTTTTGCTGTAAACAGTTATTTTACACCTCTCAGTCAGGGCAAAGGCCTTTATTTTGGAGGCACGGTGGGTGCAGGCGGGAGAGCTGCCCTGGCTTTGGGGGAAGGCTGACATCTGTGCTGGCGATTGTAGGGACCCAATAGGCCGATGCAAATGAGCATTAAAGGGAGCTTTCTGAAAATTCCCGCTTTCCTTTTGCATTGCCCACTGCCAGGTTTCACTGAAAAGGGGATTCTCCTTCGTAAACAAAGCCTCCCTTTTTTCCTGGGCTTTCCAAAAAAAAAAAAGGAAAGAGAAGGGGGTGAGTGCTGCTTGGAGTTTTCTTTTTTGCTATTTGTCTACATTTCACACCCTGGAGAAAGAAAACAACTTTTAACATCTGTTCCTGCACTTTTTTAAGAGGGAAAGAAAGGCTCTTGAAAAGGGGGAAAGTGTGGCAGATGTTGGCAGGTTCCCTCCAACGCAGATGTCTTGCTCCGAAGAAAACTTTCTTTGGGGATTGGCAGCCAGGGCTCCTCTTTGACTTGGGACACGCGACTGCCTAGCGAACGAAAGGACGTGGGAAAGCAACGGCGAACAAAAGGGCTTATTCAAACAAACCTGAGAGCCGTGAACAATCTAATAACCAGCAGAGAAATGGTCAGCAGCCCCCAGCCCTGCTGGGGAGGGGTTTGGGGCAGCCGGGGGGCCAAGGGAATTTCACCCGTGTCCTCTCCTTGCCCCCTGCCTGCTCCCTCTGGGGCATCCAGTGTGGTGCTTTGGCCAAGGACCGTCCTTTTCGAGGTGCTAAATGGTCTCAGCTGGCGTACAGGCCCAGCTGCGTGGGAGCTGGCTGCCCCACGGCGTCGGGCAGCAGAGGAGGTGGAGGGCAGGTACCTGCCGGGCAGCTGGGCTGGGCTGCCCCGCACGCACCGGCCAAGGCAGCAGGAGAGGAGCAACGGCGGGACAGCAGCAGTTCCTTTAGTTAAGCTTTTAAATGAAAGGTTCTACTGAGATAAGAATTTAAAACCCCCCCAACCCGATTGATTAGGACCAGTTGAAAGATGCTTGTGAAACAGATTTTGAGGAAAGAAGATTTTTCTTAATGGAAAGCGAAAATATTGAGAGAAAAAAGTATTTTCTGTGAACCTTTCGTTCACCCTCTTCCCTTCTTTCTGGCTGGTAAAAGAAAATGATTTAAAATAAGTTTTTGCCATGAAAACTGGTAATATTTCAGTTTAGGCACTTCATAGGAAAAAAGTGAGAAGCCTGGAGAGGAGGGAGCAGAGCCAAGAAAATTCCCATAAGAAAGTAACTAATTCTGGTTTGCTGTTAAAGCTGAGGAGCATTGTGATTATTCCTCTAATTCCTCCAAGTTTTGTTCTGCCTCATCTCTGCCCCAGTCCATTTTCTGTGGGCAGGGCAGAGCCGCTCCTGCCTGCAAGGCTGCCTTGTGCTGGGCCAGCTGGAAGGGAAAGCCCGGTGAGATGGAGCTGTGTTGCTTCTTTGGAGGTCAAGCGCTGGGGTGAGCAGCCCAAACCCCCGATGTTGGTGTCTCCTGTGTTTCTCCCATCAGCAGAGTCCCCCCTGCGTGGTGGCTGGGAAGGAGGAGCCATCTGAGCAAGGCTGAGGAGCCCCAGGCTGCAGGAAGGATTCTGTGTGTCACCAGAGACCTGCGTGCCCACCCAGGCCGGTCCCTCCTGCCTCTTGCAACTCAGAGTGACGCTGAGCACCAGTCCATCACCTGGCAGGACTAACCAGGAGGGCTGTGCAGCGCTGGGGCAGCCCCTGAGCCCAACCCAGGCCCCAGCTGGTTAACAAAATGGCCTCGTTAATGCGGCTGAGCCTTTTTCAGGGATGGATTTGCTGTGGGAGAGCGGGAGGAGAGATAAGCAGGTGCTCCTGAGCGCTGCCAGATCTGCTGCACATGTGGTTCACAGCAGGACCACTCCATCCCCTCTCCTTTCCAGGTTGGGGATGCAGCCGGGCTGGATTTGTCCCCAGTTAAGTGACTGCTTGCCCCTCTTCTGAGGTGTCTCTGCTGCCTGGGTGTGGGAGCGTGGGTCCCCGGCGGCAGGAGGTGCCGGTGGGCAGGCTGTCACGGGGGGTGCACAGGGTGCTTGAGGTGTCCTGCCCCATCCAGCACTTCCAGCTGCGTGGAGGTTTGCCGGGCCTGCTTTTATGAGAGCAGCTTTGCTTTCGGCACCCGCAGCAACGCGGGGTTTGTGAAGCGAGGAGCAAAGCGTGGGTTCGGGAGCCGCGGGAGCGGGCAGTGTGC